TAAATCCTTATGACAATAAGCGCTGGATTTTATCTGACGGAATCCAAACTTTACCTTATGGGCATTGGCGTATAAAGGCATATTATCATTATGTCAAATCCGGAATGTCACCTGAATTAGCCGAAAAAAGGGCTATGACGGTTAAACTTCGTCCTCAAAATTAGATAGGAGGCACATCTTCATTATCAGATGAGGAAGCATCATCTTCTGAGCTATCAGTATTAGGAGCCGTCATTGAAGCTACAATCCGTTGATAAATTTCCGGCTTCACTATAGCCAGCAGTACACGTAATTTGACTTGTATTTTTTTATCCATGATCGATCTAATAAGCATAGAAATATTGCGGTCACCTTGTGAAGCTATCTTCTCTCCATTGGCATAACGCCTAATAGCATCAAAATTAAGAGTTTCGAATAATTTAGCTAAATCTGTATGTTGTACCATTTTTATCAAAAGGAAATATATATAATTCAAAATAAAAATATTTTATTGGCTAAAATTTGACGATAAATGCCATGCAAAATGACGTATCATTCATAGAGCTCATAGTTGTAAATTAAAATGTGATCGTCCATAGATAATAGCGGAAATTAATTAATTTCATACATCCGAAATATTGCTAATTTATCTAAGTGTGATTGAGTCTTGCTATAGTCTTGCTACAGTCGCGCTAGATTTTTTCCTATATATCTATATGAAAAATGATATACATATGCTACAGTCGAGCTACAGTCGCGCTAGAATTGTGTTAAATTCATTTATTTTCATACTCCTACATATAGGAGTTTCAATAATATGTAAAAAATAGTAATCCAGGAAAAAATGTTATACTACGGATTTTTTAAATAGATGATTTTAATTAATATTAATATGGTATGATTCTACACATTGAATAATTTTTTATACATATCGTATAACATAACGATTATCCGATTGGTTATTATTATGTAGTAGAGGGATTATTATTATTATTATTATTATTATTATTATTATTATTATTATTATCTAAAGAATTTTGATTTGATATATTTGTAGCACGGATTCTATCAAACTCATCTTCAGATCTTTCCCAAAAACGTGATTGAAATTCATCATAATATAACATTCCATTTCTAGTTCTTCGACCTCTTGCATTTCCGGCCAAAAATTTACACATCAACTAATAATAAAATTTTAGAGGTATGTTATACAATATTCTTTTCTGAGAAATTCAATATTAATTAGCAGAGCCAACATGGCAAAATGCAATACTTACATTATAATCTCGGACAAGATTATCAAATTTCTTTTTACATTGGTAGCCATTAAAGTATGTATTATGCTCTTCATTAATTTTTATTGCAATACTCTCCCAAAAATTTATCCGATTTCTACCAAGGTTATGAAACTCCACATTTCTATTTCTGCGTTCATTAATTAGTATACGAATTTGAGCATTACTCCAATCAGCCATTTTTTTCCTGGAAAAATTAGAAAGTATTTTTCATTGTTTTTAAATACATCTTTTTAAATATCGGATTAAACCATATAAATTAAATTTAGGGGGGAAAGTCCATATATCAAGTATACTTCAAGTATACATCAAGTATTCATCAAATGCAATTTTCATTAAGAGATAATATAATTAATACGTTTTTTAAGAGTACTTCAAGTGTACTTCAAGTATACTTCAAGTGTATTTCATGAAATTAATTTATTATCTATGGGCGATGTGCAAATTTAAAAAAATTTATATGAATGATATTTATACATGATTCAATAATATTTTTCTTAGAATATTTAGAATTCTTGGAATATTTATAATATAATAAATGGCTAAATTTAATCCGCACTTCTCAAAATTTCTTGATCAATTACCCCCATCCATAAAAAACGATATATGGAAACGCCTTACAACCCGATTGCATAACCCCTTAACCGAAGAACAGGCATGTGGCATCCATCCCGATGTAGAGGCATTATTAATTCGGGAAGTTGATAGCTATGCAAAGAAAAAAGGCCGTCAACGTTTGAAGGTATTGACTAATGCCACCCCAGAGGACTCTACGGCACTTTCTCAATTAGATGAATTAAAAAAACGGCTTCCTATCCGTGAGGCTCAATTGGACCAAAAGGAGCAAGATATCGAAAATGTTATATCCACACGGCTAAATGATGAGTATAATCGGCTCAGGGCTGAATATGATACAACAGTATATGCATTAAAACAAAAATTAGAGGAAAAATATCAAACCCAATTAACCGCAATGGAAAAGGCTTTGATAGATAAGGATCAGGTCCATGAACAGGTTTTACATAGTAAAAAATCGAAAATAGCTGATTTGTCCGCTTTGCTAAAGGATACCAAGAAGTCTCTTAATGCCCTAAAAAAAGAGCACACTTCGACCCTATCAGCTTTACAAAAATTAGAGGCTAAAAATCGGGAATTGCTTGAGGTCATAAACGCTAAGGACCAAAAAATAATCAATCTCAATGACCGCATTATATCCTATAATCCTCGGGGGAGTGGTGATGGGGCAGTCGAGCCCGAATCTTATTATTCCACTATAGATAGAGATTTATGGACGAAGTGGCGTAATGATGCTAAATATGACCTTGAAATTCGGAAGAAATTTGCATTCAGATTTAGGCCATAGATAATCTAATAGGAGCATAGAGTCTCTGGCTCATAATTTTTTCAATGGGCTCCGATGGGGAAATAATTTTTTTGATGGGCTCCGATGGGGCAATAATTTTTTCGATGGGCTCCGATGGGGCAATAATTTTTTCGATGGGTTTACATGGCTTTTTTCTCAAAAAATGTTGCCTTAAATTGGATGGATAACGGAAATCTCTATGGCATATATGACAAGTGCGATCTTCTCTAGCCACATCTATTGCAGAGCAAGCCGTTAGGCGATGAATTGGAAATTCGAGACTTTGTCTCTTCTTCGAATCATGGCTCTCTGAGCCTACTTTTTTTTATGCACCGATAATGGCACAGTGATTTCTTTATCTGAATAACGGATTATGCATTTGCGGGATGAAATATCAGGGAGGGCACGTGCTTTATCAAGCCATGGGACACCAAGTATTAGTAATAGCCCTTCTTCATCAATCTCATCAAAATCGCCTTCAATAATGCATCCATTTTTTCCGCCAACTTTAATGCCTAATC